CAAATTCGTGCAATGCTACGTAGACAGCGGTGTTCAAACACCGTTTTCTTAATGGCCAAGTTTCTGCTCCATATAGCAGAACTGACCGAACTACTGCAGCATATACTTGACCCTTCACAGACAGCCGGATGTCGCCACGGCGCCACAGATGTCTCAAGTTGGCAAATGCCAACCGAGCCTTCTGTATGCGAGCTGACACTTCAACCGTGATGCATCCACCGGGTGAGATGTAGCTGCCCAGATAACAAAAATCATCCACCTGCTCTATTACTTCTCCAGTTAGAGTGAGGCTGGCTGCTGGACCAACCCAGTCTTGTAGTAGCATTTTAAACTTTGAAGGTGCAAAACGCATACCAAACATGGACACGCTAGCACTCACTTTCCAGAAAGGGTTGTAACTTACCTGGATCTCCACTTAGTAGCACAGCGTGCAAGGGTGGAACGATTCACCCGTTCACAATTTGTTTGCGCTGCATACATCCCTACCAAATTTCGTTTTATTTAGTGTGGAGTGACGAACAATTATCGGATACGCATGCGCGACGAGTTGCAAGAACCACAAAACTCATCGGGCGCTTCCAGGCTTTATATTCCATCGATTGCCTGCCGCACGTAAAAGATGCACGCGTGAGAACCAGGCTGGTGTAAATCCGGTCGAGGTTGCATATTTCACATTTNCCCCTTGACAAATTTAAGATACTCGTTTCGTAGACCCACAATCTCTGACTTCCTCGACCTGAAAATGGCTTTCGACTCGGTTAATCGCTTTAAACTCTGGCGCTGCCTCTCTGGGAATAGTTTATCTCAATTTGTGATCTCTTTATATTCATGGCCGAATCGGAGTCCGAGCTTACGGCACATCTCCCGAGTTCTTTACAGAAAGCGATGTTTGACAGGGTTAATCTCTCTTCCTCTCCCCCCCCCTTCACTTCGTTATCGATTCGACTCGAGAAACAACCCTGTCTTCATACGAGGATAGCGGCATCGATTCGCTCCCTGGTGGCAGTGTCCGACCTGAAGTGGACTGATGACAATTTACTGCTAAATGGAGATCCGAGTAGGCTGCATGCTTTTCTGGATAGTTTGAGTGCTGTTTGGTATGCTTTTTGCACGTTGAAAGTGTAGAATGTTACTACAGGACTGGGTGGATCCAGCTCCCAACTTCACCCTAATTTAAAAAGTAATAGAGGTAAAGAACCAATTTTTCTACCTGAGCAGTTGTATCTCATCCAGCGGACGCATCACGGATGAAGTGTCAGCTTGCATACAGAAGGCTCGGTTGGTATTTGCCAACCCGAGACATTTGTGGCACCGTCGCGACATGCAGCTGTTCGTGAAGGGTTGAGTTTATGGTGCAGCAGTTAGACCAGTTCTGCTATAAGGTGTAGAGACTTGGCCACTACGATAACAGAATGAGGATAGACTGTCGATATTCAAACGTCGCATTGCACGAATCTGATGAGGAAACCGGGCATGATTGAATTAGGAGCGGAATTTTAGGTCATCGCAGTCGTCCAGAGGTTTAAGTGATCGACCTACAGAAACTACATTGGTTAGGGAATGTAGTGCGCATGTCACCAAATAGAGCGCCACAGTGTACAATGTTTGCCGAGACAGGTAGTGGAAGGAAAAAAGTAAAGAATGGTCAAAATCAGACCTGGTATCATCATCACTAGACGGCGCGTAATACCGGGAAGTGAAGTTCAGTGAAGATAGGAAGACCCTAACCAAGAAACTCGGTCATATAAGTCGCCTTAGGCTCCCTTGATGGGAATCACGGAAGCATCGTAACCGGTGATTAGAGATATTGAGTATGGTAAACAGTGATGATTGTGTATCCACTCAATGCCCTTGCTGTTACTGTTCACGAATTCTCTGACACCTGACACGGATTTCAACATTCCAATTGGCATTTGAGAGACAGCAACCAAAACCATCGCAAAAAAGCGTATGGTTATGAAGACTGAACCTGAAATTCCAGTTGGTTTACGAGGTGAACTAAATGCACTTCATCCGCCCATTTTGTTCGAGGTTGCGTCTCTCGCTTTTTCATACCCACGTTGACAAATGCCAATCAACCTTTCCGCATGTTTACTGACACTTCATTCGTGATGCGTCCTCTGAATGAGATACAGCTGATTAATCGTCAGATCCCACATAAATAAAAATTGTTTCCATCGGGAATAGCCACAAAACTGGTTCTTTTTTGTCAACTCACATGAAGTTCCATCAGTTCGTTTATTGTGCGATCAATGATTCGTGTCACATTGGCATTGATCAACTGAAGTGCCTTTTCCAGTGCACCAATCGCTCTGGACAAATACGTCTCCGATTCCTTGAAGGTTGGCTATCGATTGTGGAGAGGATATGATGGAAAGATTAGATCACCCGCTCTACGACAAAAATAAGGGACTTACATGTCGACGGAGGAAATTGATGCTCGAGTCCAGACGATCCAGCATCGGTTTCAGTTTGTCTTTGGACAGAACCAATTTGACGGAACGCAATTCCTGTGGAATGATAACAAGGTGGTAACCGTAACAATGCAACCGCTTACTGCTTCCACGATGTCCACATTGACAAAGTGGGTGAGAATACGATCAATTTGTTTTGCAACTTCACTTAATTCGTTCTAAGTGATAGGTCGAGCGATGAGATTCATGTGTACAAACCTGTTCCTGAAGCAAATGTTCACATACATCATGCAGTGAATTAGTTTTGCTCGATACAGTAGCATAGTGCTCACGTAACGCGTTCAAATTGGTCAGAATAGCACGCAGTTCTTGTAAAATCTGTGAACAGTATTCTTTTTTCTGTGCCACATATTCCATAAACTGTCTACAATCAGACGGACAAAGTGAGCAGAGATGAGGCGACTTACGAATCGGCTTCGGTATCAGTTGTGTGGAAATTCTGTTCCATTGAGCGTAGCCACGTGTAAAAGTGTGAAGCTAATTGCATGTGGACGATGGCATCCGAGTTGGGATGAGACACCGGTTGTAGTTGTGTGCTATCTACAGCGGGTAAAGTGGGCACCTGGTTGTTTTCACTGTCCTAAAAACCGTGAATGATTTTTTGTTCTGTGTGACTTGTTTTCAAAATCACATCTTACCGTGCGGGGAATGGGCCGAGCATCAAGTGAGCTGAGCAGAAAGACTGATTCCAGCTGCTTCTCGCTCAGGCTGGTATCCGTATTGTCAATATGATCCCAGTTGATAATAGGCATGACATTCAAACTAAAAACTGGGGTAGAGGGGAAACGAAAACTTCAAGCACTGGACAAACAGATACAGATTTTGAGAAAATATGATGAAAAAGTAAGTTGTCTAAAATGCATACAGACTCCGACATTTTGAGATGCAAAAATGTATTTTATACCTTGCAATATTTTCAGTAAGGCGGTGGTGGTGGTGGTCCATTGGCAAACGTGATTAAATTCTCACCCCAAAGGACGTGTGTTCGAATCCCACTAGCACTACCTGACTCTGCTCATTATGTGTTATAGGAAAAGTTTCTGAGTGGTCGCTCCCTCCTTCCTGAAAGTTGTATTATTATGCATTCAATAAAAGGGAGTAAAATTGAAAGAAAAAAGACAGCATTACTTCACACCGTAACAGCTCCATTTAACACCTTCAACACTATCAGTCCAGAGCTCCATAAGAGCCTATCTTAAAATGAAAGCGGTTTGTTTCTCACCCAAAGACATTGTCTCATTGAATGCCGTTTAAAGCATTGGACGGACAATTCCTACCCATTGGCTTTTCGTGGCGAGGATATTTTCACCAAGGTAAGAGGGTCCTGGCTGAATCCACGCCATTCCACCAGTGAATGAGGTCTGACAACCACACACGGGCATTGCTCCCTTACTGTTCATATTCGGTCGTGCTGAGTAAGGTTAGAGGTGTAGCTCTGAAGCAAGGAAGCCGAGTGACGCCATATACCTCATGATGTCAGTTTATTCTCCCTTCCTCTTTCTGTCTGACTCTCCGAAACCAGACAACATGAACTAAAGAGAAAAAATAATCAACAATCCTTTGAATTAGTTTCACAAGCCGAAAAGATACCCGTGAACCAGATCATATGCAACTTTGTGTTTGGCTTAAACGAAGATGTGTGAAGGCTGCGGGAGATTGCTCTAATTAAGTGATGGTCAACGATGTTAGCAAATGCTGCGAGTACAACGGGAAAAGCAATGACGCAGTGAATGAAAGGACAGTTTTTGACAAATCTATACCAGTGCTAGCCGCAGGCAGTGGTTGATTTGAGTCTATCACTGTCAAACGAGAGAGAAAGTTGCCCTATCGAGAGAATTAGTTGTTTTAGTGCTACAAGTCAATGTTTTCCGAGAACAATCCGTGATCTGTGCGGAGTTGTTGTTGTTGATCAACCGATAGGACGGAACTGTTTGTAGGCTATCCAGAAGCTTTTCTGGTTGGTGAGATTTTATTCGAGCATTGAAGCTACTAGCGATCAACGAGCATTTAGGAACAATCAAGAAGAATTACGTGG